AAATTTACTTAACCTCCAAAACTTCTCCTCCCAACTCACCTTCTCCAACCTAAGTCAATCAACTTCTCCTTAATCATTCCCAACCACCATAGCCTTTCCTAATCCAACTCAACCATCCAACTCAACCAAGCACTTAACCAAAACTCCTATTCACCTCCAAGCCCCACCATAAGGCACATGACTCCTCGGGATTTTTCATGTGCTTTTCCTTCCTGCTCATCAAAGATTACCCAAGTCATCTACTTCCTCCAATTATCCTCCCCACATGTGCCATCAAGCACATGCCTTCATTTCCTAGTCATCAACCTCCACATGCCTCTCATTTATTCCTTCCTTCCTTCCTTTCCCAAGTCACCTAAGATGCCACTTCATCCTTACGGACCTCATGATTACTACCTCACCTCCTTCACCAAGTCACCAAAGCTATCCTACCTCCTCCACCCATTCTTTCCCAAGTCACCTAAGCTCTCATCCAACACTACAAGGCTACAAACTCCAACTCAACAAGTGCTCAACCACCACCACATGCTCTACTACTATTCAACTCCAACAAGCATCTCTACAACTTCTCAAGAAACTTCTTCAATGACAACAATGCTTCCGAAGCTCCTCTTCAAGCTCCTTCACAAGCTTCTCCTTCAAGCTCCTCTTCAACTGTCAACGGGAGTTGTTTGTTGACCCCGTCCTCGCTTGGGCGGAGCCGACTTCGTGGTCGGGTGTAGGGGTGCAGTCGACCTGCAGCAGTGGGCGAGCTGGTTGACGAGGAGGTCGACCTGCACGGGGGCCACTGCACGGGGGCCACTGCACGGGCGCCGACTTCAGAGAGGTCGACCCGGGAAGCCGACCTGCGGAGGGCGTCGACTTGGCGATGCCAACCTGGGGCAGCCGACTTGGGTGGTCGGCTGACAGGAGTGCTCGTCGACATAGAGCTGGTCGACCAGAAGTGGCGTCTACCTGGGGCTGGTCGACCAGAGGTCGTGGTCGACCTGGTGAGGTCGACTTGGGGTGGTCGTCGACTTGGGAGGTCGACGGGCATGTACGGGAGTAGCTGGTCGACGCGGTAGCCCGGTCGACCAGGTTACCTGGGTGACGAGGTTCTGCGGAGGAGTGCGACGGTCGCCCAGGCGAAGTTGGCGAGACCGACCTCGGTGGTGGTATCCCGAGGTCGACGTGGCTGATCAGATGCAGTTGTCAGCGCCAGGTTGACTTGGTGTGTGCGCTGTGCAGGTGACGAGGCCCAGCGCGCCAATCATCTGCAAGCACCTGCGAAGCGGGTGCGCTGCTGTCCTGCGGGAGCAACGTTGGCACGCCGTCGACTTGCAGCACTGGCAAGCCGCGACTCTGCATTGCTGGAGCGCGGTCGACCAAGTCGTGCTGGCACGCGGTCGACCGTGCTGCGCTGGCAGTAGACTTGCTTGCATCCTAGCTCTGATGTAGTCTAGCCTTGCCAACGTCATTGTACCATTGTTGTCAATCTTTGCTAGTGAAACTCTTGAAAAATTCCCCCCTGAATGTGCAAGCAGAGAACACACGAGCAAACGACTAAGGAACAACGAATGCAGAGATCACACCAGCAACCGTGCCTAGCCTGTAGTCTAGCTCCCTTTGTAGTAGTTATCTCCGCATCAACTACAAAGGCTCGTCACTAGCAACCAAGTTCAATGTCTCCAAAGTTGATACTCTCATGCAACTCTCTTCCAAGGCTACCACTGATGGCTACTCTTTCTATGCATGCCTATGTATCCCTCATGGATCTATAAGGCTTGTACTACACCCTTCTTAATCTAAGTTTATGCTCATAAAGTTATCTCTCACCTAGTCTACAAAGTAGTTATCAAGTGAGGAGTAGTCTACCTCATACTCCTTATGAGTATAAGGAAGCTACAAGCTACAAGCCCAAGGTAGGATCATCATCCAACCCAAGGCTTGAAGTCACTTTCAAGTAAAGCATACGAGTTCAAGATTTTCCACCAAGTTACTTCTACAACTATCCCTAGTAAGATTCACTCAAGTAAGTGTTTCTCACCTCTCTTACTATCTCAAAGAGCTTGCACTCTTCTTCTCTTTTAAGTTCTCCCTTGCTTCACACCCTTGCTTCCCTTGCTCTTCACCCTTCCCTTGACGTCGAGGGTGAGGATGACAACAACGTGAAACAGGTTTGGCGTGCAAAGCTGTTTTGCATCTTAACATTGCGGCGGACAGTGCAAACGGTGGACGCTGACGGAAATACTACGGAGGACAAAATTTCGGAGGAGCTGGCATTCTGTCGTTACTATGCTACTACAGCACAGTCTGCAGTTATTGACATGAAGACGCTGAAATGGTGGCCATCAGGCAGGGGTTACGGAGTGGTGCCGGTAGAGAGCATTTTGCGTGTGATCCACGTCGTGCCCAAAACTGCAGATCCGGCTCATCCCAACACCAAGTTTGTATGGAACCATTTTAGATGGTAGTGCGTATCGAAACTGCATTATGTAAATACTGCGAGTAAATTGTACATATTTTTTTTTTGCTAGCATGTATAGGTAGTTTCTAGTGGATTGTATTTTTTACTAGTAGAATTTGAACATTTTTGTTAAAGTAACATGTGGTGTGTGACATGCTGTAGTGTAACTCAAAAACCTGCAGCTGAATAATTATCGGGTAGCCATATATCGAATATGTTATTGTTCACGCGAGGTTCGAGAAACCTCCTACAGTCCCGTAACTGAATTCCGTCGGTGGCACGGGCGTCAACTCATCCCAAAATCCACATTGAACAACTGGGCCATCAAAGGTAGCTGTCTTGTGCGCAGGGCCCAAAATTGGTTTAGGCCTACCCTTACAAATCAGGGTTCCAGGCCCTCCTTAAACAAACCCCTAGGGAAAAAAAATTTTCCGTACCCTGTTGGCAGCAGGGTAAATCAGCCGCTAGCCTGATTTGACCAGTGTAGTTTTGAGCAAAGCCTGATTCTGTATGAGTTTTCAGAGCTAAGTTTTTTGTATGGACATTAAAAAGTAGCACATTCATAGATTATGAAGTCTACACAAGCAACACAAGCACATCAAGTTTTACTGCGCGTGGGAACAAGAGACAACGGGTATTTGTGGGGGTGTTGTACGTTTCGTCAGCACGCGGACTGTGGTCAGATTCGCGTTAGAATAGTTTCGGTAAAAGGGTAGTGTACACTATACCCTGATTCCGTCAGGCTAACCTAAAAACCAATCAGGGTGAAATAAAACATGCTCTTTTAAGAGAAGGGTAACTATCGTGCAATCCTGATTTTGGCAGGGTAATCCTGAAAAAGCGACCGGCCCCCAGGGTAATCAGGGCGTTTTACCCTGATATTTTGGGCCCTGCTTGTGCGGCTGTACTGTTCCGAAAAGTCTAGAAGTACCCTCCGGTCGAAAATTTTTACATGAAGCTTTTCTCGTCGACAATGAGTTGTACCGTATTACCCCGGATATAGGCGCATCTGCACTTATAATAAAACCGGTTTTTTTTAGGGGTGGCGCTTGTAATTGAATCACGGCCATAAGCGCCGGCGCTTATATCATGACAAATACAGAAATACAACTTAACAACACGAAACTGTACATTTCAGTCTCGTATTTTCAATCGAATCCCAATTCTACAGCGTCCTGAATCAGAATCGCGCGAGGGCAATTCTCTGACAGTGCACAAAGCTTTGGCACGTCAGTTTGACCGCGTGCCAGCTCATCCTGACTGGACACGAAAGGGGTGAGGTCCCCGAAAGTCAAACAGAGTGAAAAAGAGGTGTGTGACTCGCTGGAGTTTTGAAACTCGTTACCGTTTTAATGAAGATTCAAAAATGAAATAATGCATGCGCTTATAATAAATCATGGTTTTACGGGGGAGGGCGCTTATAATCGAGTTCCGGCCATAAGCGCCATGCTCCAGATAGAAGCGCCGGCGCCTTTAATCGGACGGCGCCTATATCCGGGGCCATACGGTATGTGGTGTTTTTCTCTCAGCGTGACGGATACACTTTGCACCTGGGCAAACAATGAAATTGCGCGCATGAACCTTGAGTGTGGCTGTGCATAGTACAAGCCACACAAAAACAACGGTTAACATTAAATTTGGTTTTCTCTGTTTCGCATTGACATAAACGCAGCAAACCTCGATTCTTCGGCAACAGTTGTCGCAACTCCTTTTTTGGCTCCAGCGGGGCATATGCAATCCAATCGTCAACACCACCGTGTTCACGTGGGCTTCGAGGTACAGTACACGAACCCACCATCCTGGTCTCCGGTACAGTTGCAACTGTACTTTCTGCCCGTTACGTGCGTCTGCCCGTAAGCGTAACACAGCATATGGGTCACTGGTTGAGTGTGGTGATGTACAGCTCGACAGACCCAAAAACAATCAAATGTAAATGCTGTTGATTCACTGTTTTCAACGTGACAAACAGAGCAACCAGTTTACAGCGGGCAATGGTTCCAGCGATGCATGGTTGCAATGTACACAGCTGTCAATAAACAGTTACAGCCACACTGTAGCACTCCAGCGGGGCATTCCAGCACTTCATCTCCTCCGCGTTGTCACGCGCTTCGAGGCAGTCACCAGCCCACCCTCCCTCCACCAACCCTCCTGTCCTTCTGAGTCACCATACCATCTTCCCCTTACACACTCCCTTCCGGCCCCACCTTTTTCCCCTCACCTCCCGTGCTGTAATCGTTGCTGCTCGAGCGTCGTGTCTGAAATTTAGAATTCCAAATTCCAAGTTTTGAACTTCCCTTCCTACGACTTGGCCGACCTTACCCGAGTTTGCCCCATGCCGAGCCACCATTTTTATGCCGCGCTGTATGTGGTTCGGTAGTGAGGTACTTCGTTCGGATGACGGTGCGGTTTTTCCTCCGATATAACCCATTCTTTCTATGCTCTCGAGCCGCTTCTTTTGTACTTCATTATTATCATTTTACTAGACTATAAATATGCCTTCGTTGCTTATCGCTGGCTACACGCTTTCTGTTGTTTATAGTTGATTTCACGAATCATGACGCGCGGCAATCCAAAAGGGCTAGTCCCACCCTCCATGATGCATCTGCAGACTAGGCAAATGCCCTCCCGCGCCTGTAAGGATAATCACAAGTATGTCTCGAGCAACGGACCACACGCAGGTACGAAGTGTCTGATTTCCCCGCTTCCACAATTCTCTCCTTGTTTATGGTTATCATGTGACTAATTTATTTTTATTTTTCCGTAATCGCAGGTGTAGCTGACTATGCTACCAAGCCGGCTCCGTCCGACCGTCGTCCTACCGGACCTCGGAAACCGGAAGCTCGGCGGAGCTCGAAAGATGTGTCTAAAACTGCAACTCCTGGCACGGGGGGAAAGAGTTCTGCGCCACAGTCCACGGCGAAAACCTCCCAGTCTACTCCCGTCGATTCTTCTCCAGGCGGTTCATCTCAAGGCGTTGGTGACCGTCATCCCCCTGTTGTAACGACGGTGGCTTCAAATACTGATGCGGCTGTCGCTGCTGATGAAGTTGATGCGGCCGAGGGTGAGTTTCTGAGTTTTTGTTCGCAATCTTTGTTTGCTATCTACTCCCTCGTGTACTTTCTACTCTATTGCTCTCTGTTTATTTCCTTCTTCAGCTGGAGGTTCCTGGATGGAGTTGGCGATGACCCAGGCGACAGGGAAGCCCTATGCCACGGAGGCTGTCAGTTTTCGCGAAGAGGGAAGGCAATATCTGGAGGTGAAGGACGAGCTGCAAATCAAGCTTGACGAACAGGAGACGATCATCGACGAACTTCGAAAGGAGCTAGAAAGCCGGGATGCGGATGTGAAGGATGCGCTTGCTCTGTTGAAGCATCTGGCGCACAAGGTTGTTGATGATGAGCTCGTGAAAGTCGATTGGCGGGTGAGTTGCTAATTGTTTGTGTTTTTCCTTACGACGCAGTCACTTATTGCTTTTGTCTCTGCATTTCAGGTCCACATTAAGGAGTCATGCGACGACTTCCTTTTCAAGCAGGATACACTGAACCTGTCACACGAGCCTGAACAGATGCTCTCTACATTGATCAGTGAGTCATGTCACAACCTGTCTCGTTTGTCACAGTTTCTCTGGCTCACCTTCTTCGTATGCCTTGTGCAGGGAAATCCGGCCACACCGTTGGCTCTTCCGAGGGCTTGAGGCTCGCGGTCGTGTTGGAGGCAAATGGCCTTCTCAAGCACGCGTGTGTGCGCTTTAACGACATGATCGGTAAAATATACCGAGGCTGTCGTCTCCATGCTTTGAGCAACAAACCGTGCATTTTTTTACGTAGAAAGAGAAATGCGAAGGGCGAGATTGTATACGTGGTGCCTGAAGACTTGCCCAAGTTGTGTGCTGATTACGTTCTGTGCCTCGCCCACAGAAAGTCGTTAAGTGTATGCTAATGAAATTATCGTTGTGGCCTATTCTAAATTCATGTTTGGTGCACTTGCAGAGTTTTTGGGCATCCCGTGGCATGTCGACGAGACTGGGAAGCCATTTTTCAGCCCCGCCTTTTTTAAGTCTGCAAGCCTGTGGGATTCCAGTGGCGACTTGCTAGTCGGTTTGTTTGCTGTTCAGCTGCTAGTCATCCTTGCAGCGGTAAGCGTGACTTCTGCTGAGCACTTGTAAACTCTATGTACATACTCTGTTGTGCATCTTACAGTGGATGTTGAATGATTTTGCAGGTGAGGTTCAAGTTCCGCCATCCCAGCGCCACGAAGGCCCAGCTGGATCGCTCTGGAGATCCTGGTGCTCTTGCCAGGCAGGCACGTGTCATGCAGCGCTGGATCAACTGCCGCGAAGTTACTCGCAAGGACGGTTGCATTGGGATTGGGAAGGTCTGCATCATCGGATGGAAGGAAATTCCAGAGGATGAGCTGGAGGCAGACGAGTTTGGAGATTTTGGCTTGGATGAGCTGACAGGCAACATTGACTCAGAGGAGCGAGAGTATGATGAGGAAGAGGAGCAGCCAGTGCTCTGGAGGCGGGAGTAGTTTAGTGGTTGATGTGTGGTAGCTGGAGGTATAGATGTGTAGATCTATCTGTATGCTTTTTACTATTTCAATAAAAGCCCGTTTCTATTGATTTCGGAACTGCTTTCAGAATACATTCAATAGTGGCTCCGATTAAAATATATTGTTTCTTTTGATGCTGAATGACATTTATTTCATCTGTTCAGTACATTCCTTATTTACTGACTTAATTCAATTTTATGGATGTGCTGAATTAATAATTAAAATAATCGATAAGAGATTCTTTGTACAACAGTCGTTCAGATTGAAATCGCGTTCCCCCCTTTAATCGAGTACGATTCGGACTGAATCTGGATGGGCCGACAGCCAATAGGAAAAAAGTTGTGACAAATGTTCACGCTCCAGTTGTCCTGTGCGTGTTCGCCCAAATATGCCGAACCAGCTCAAAGGGCTTGGGATTGTTTCGCTGAACCTGTCGATTGCTACTTGACAGATGTATCGGAAACCAATCGCAGTTCAGGGGAAAACGCCAAGAAACGAAAACTACACGCCCACGACTCGTTTCCAACTTGTTCACCACTCCCACCAAGTTCGCGAGGAAACTTGATTGCGCGAGATAATTGCTTCTTTACTAGGACGGAGAGTCTTGGGAGTTGAGCCATTTGTGTCGAGGGAGAAGGTGTGCGGGGCAGCGTTCTGGCCGTTTGGGGCCGGTTGAGAGGGTTGTGAGGAATTTCCCGCGTCGCCATTCCGCAATGTTTGGAGTCCTTGCTCCAAGCTGGTGAGTCGCTGAAGTAGTTGTGCGAGGACGGCGGTTCCAATCGTCGTCGTTTCCTCGCTTAGTCGTAGCCGGGTTGGGTTGCGCTTCAGCCGTCAGATTCGTCTGACCACCAGATCCTCCGGCCATTCTCACACGCAATTGTGTGCCGGACGCTGCTTTCCATTTGTCGAATATTTCGGAGGTGGCAGTGCGAAGGATTCCCGAGTCGCTCTCATACCATGTTACGATCAGAGAATGATCGATGCTAGAATTACCTCGGGAAGGTTCGTACAAGACTGAGTAGCGGTGGTGGGCCCTTGACCTCAATAGCAGAGTGAATGTAAAATGCTTATTAAAACATGGAAATACAGCAAATATAAATAGTAGTACACGGAATACGAATCGACCTAGCTAGCCATGTACTCTAAGGGGTACATTCCCTTACTTCAATTCATTCCCAACCTTACGACTCCAGACAGTTACGAAACTGTCTGGGAAGAATCCTTGCCACTGCTGCTGCCTGATGCTCCCTGCTCGACGGTCCAGATCTTCTCGTAACCGTACGACTCTTCGCGTCACTTCTGCCCTTTCGTATTCAGCCTTGTTACTGTGTGCTTCGATTGCTACAGTTAGGAGTGCACAGTAATGCTTTGTTGATTACTATTCGTAACAATTATAAGCGCCACGCCCCTTAAAAGGCACTTTTTCTTATAAGCGCATGTGCGCTTATATCTGGGGTGATACGGTTCCTCTGATTCAGGGCTGACGTTTAAAAAAAAAAACACTCTGAGGCAGGGGAGAAAAAAAAAAACCGTTTAGTCTGAGGGTCATTTCCCAAGTTCTGAGTACTCTGAAATGTCAGGTTTGAAAAATTCATTAGTCTGAAAAGTTTTGAGTATGTAAAACCGCATCCGAGTTGGTTAATATCGAATATCTGTCAAGCGAGTTTGGCCTCGGAGTTGGCGAGAAGCAGGAGTGAGAGGGGGCGGGGGAAGGGGGAGGGGGGAGGGGGGCAGGGGGGTAATTGAATGTAGTTCGAGAGAGGGGGAGGGGGGAGGACTAAAATTCGGCAATTTCAGGGGCCATACTCCCTGTAGTCTCGAGTCAGGGCTCTCGCTAGGTTTTGGGGCTGTCTGACAGTACCCTGAAAAAATTTTCCCCCGTCTTATGCTCGGACGACGAAACTTCCGTAGTCTGATAACCAAGACGAAAAAAAAGTTCCTGTTAAAAGTCAACCTACTGCGAGGTTGGGGTACGAGCGTGTGGGGGCAAGGGAGGGAGTGGAACAAACGGCCACATGCTACGTATCTAGTATCTACCTCACCGCCGCTTTCGGCGGGGCTGCTATAAGACACGCGTAATGAATGCGCGTGCTGTTACAGGGCAGCAAATGGCTGTACCTGTGGTCCTATCCTCTGGTCCACTGGGCATATGGCCTAGTGGGTCAAGATGTCGGTTTCAGACGAAACCGAACTCGATATCTGTGTTTTCAGATTAAGAATTATACACGTCTGGAAAAATCATACGAACCTAAAACGCTAATCTTACTGATCAGATGAGAACAAACACAAATTCTTAGGAAGCAGATGAATACAAAAAAACAAGTCTTAAACTCAGACCATCAGACCAAATTGGTCTGATAACGAGAACACTGTCTCGAGTCTCAGTATCGCACAATGAAGTACTCTGATTTTTTCAGAGTGGAAAAACGAACAGGTCTGAGGCCTTCAGAGTTCAAAATACAGGAATACTGAAATTTCAGGAAAGGCGAAAAAAAGAGTCTGAAATTTCAGACAATCAGACTAAAATAGTCTGATAAAATCAGCCCTGCTCTGATTACTCCTCTCGGGTCTTAAACATCTGAAATAGAAGATTACGGTATGGTATGAGGAAACAAACATTTAAGTTTATAGAAGGGTTAGGAAGGGATGAAGGTAACCGAGCATGAGAAAACAATTGATTTGGGAACCACATGTTATTCACGTATTATTTTTCTTGGGATTGTGACACCAGAATCAAGTGTTGCATACGCATCGCCAAATTCACACGAAATCGAGGAACGCCACAGCGGAGCATGTTTTCTCCAAAAACTTCTTCTCACTTGCCAATTCCTTGTGCAAAAATGGCTAAATCCGTCCTCCGGTTTCCGCAAGACGCGGCGCCTCTGGCGGTGATCGGAGCGGCGGCCATTGCAAAGATCGAGATTGATGCCGCCGTCGACGCAAGCCTGTCTGGAAGCAGCCCGCCCATGCTGTACCTCCCCACGGGGTACGCTCCCTCGCTCCTTTGACCCTCTCGGAAGCAGATCCGTCCACCTGCCTCCGCATTCGACCAGAATACCAACTTGGATTCCCTTACAAACTCCGTCGTAGCGTATTCAATCGCATTTTGAGCCGATCGTGACACCATCCCCTCGCACTCCTCGCCTCGCTCTCCTTTTCCTCGTCCTCCTGGACCGCCCTACCCGCTCCAGCATCTGCGCGCCTCCTCGTCTCTCTCATTCCTCGCGTTGGCGAAGCTTACCGGAACGGCAGAAGCTTCGTTCTGTCTACCTGACCATCTGAACAGTCCCTTGGCCCTATTCTCTCATAATCCTTCCTTCGCCCTCCTTTAAACCCCGTGCGTCCCGTTAAGTCTGCCACAGAAGTCTCTTCGACCGACTCGGTACCCGACCCTTCTTTGGCTTTCATCGTTGCCGTCGTTCTCATCCTAATCCTTTTGTATCCTTACCTTCCACTCCCTTCCCGTTCCTCCGTGTGTCCCTGGTTCTTCCCCTTCATTCCTCCCCCCCGCGTCGCCGCAACCAATCAGCGACGAGCTACGGGGCGCCGGCACCATTCTTCGCTATTTCGGCCGCGTCGCGCAGCGAGAGGGCTTCTACGGCGGCTCGGATCCAGTCGCCGCTTGCCAGGTGAGTCAGCGGGAACCAATCGTGAGTGCCAAGTGGCTTGGCTGCGACCCCGTATCACAACCAGAGTCGCTGGCTTGCTGCGCGGTGTCCGTCGTTCTTCGCCCTTCTTCTCCCTTCTTCTCCCTTCTTCTCCCTTCTTCTCCCTTCTTCTCCCTTCTTCTCCCTTCTTCTCCCTTCTTCGCCCTTCTTCGCCCTTCTTCGCCCTTCTTCTCCCTTCTTCGCCCTTCTTCGCCCTTCTTCGTCCTTCTTCGCCCATGTTCGCACTTGCAGGACTGTCTGCTGCTGGCAGAACCATCGCACGTGCCTTTATCCCTTCCACACGCGTCTTTTTCATCACTGGTTCCTTTCTCCCGCTTCACCTTTTCTACCGCGTTACCACGTCACTGCGTCAGACCGCACCACACCCCATCGCACCCCACCCCTTGCCGTGGTTGCCTGCGCGCCCACTTGCCTCAACGCTGAGCATCGGCTCCGAGTTTGAGCGCGTGCCAGCCTACTTCAACACCTACCTCTTCCTTTCCCACCGTTTCACACCCTTCGCCGCCGCTCTCAACCCACCAGGTGGACGAGGTGGTGGACTACGCTCCCACTCTGAGCATCGGATCCGAGTTTGAGCGTGTGTGCGCGTACCTCAACAGCTACCTTGCCGCGCGCACCTTCTTTGTCTCCTATGACCTCTCCATCGCTGATGTCGCCATCTCCGCCGGCTTGTTTGGTAAGTGCAGCGCATTTCCCCCCTCTTTGGAACTCGTTATCCGTACACGTTCTTACGTATAAGTTTGCTTGTATCATGTACCAACTGCCCTGAAGTGTACTGTCTGTATTGTATGTATACCAACATACCTACGTCCCTTGTTACTCCCGCGTGTGCGCCGTGCCACCCACGGCAACCACAGGGCAGCGGTGGGACAGCACATGCAGGTCGTCCACAGCCAAGTACCCAACCAACCGCAGGGCTGACTTTTCTTGAGTCGCTTGTTCTAACCATCATGTCTCCTTCCCCTACTCCCATGTGCGCCCTGCATTTGCTGCCACAGGGCAGCGGTGGGACAGCATACGCCGGTCCCCCACAGCCAAGTATGCAACTTCAAAACCTGACTTGAGTGCTTTCCTTACTCCTGTGTGCATGCTGTGCCATTCCAGCCACAGGGCAGCGGTGGGACAGCATACGGCGGTCCCCCACAGCCAAGTACCCGAACCTCATTCGCTGGTTCAACACCGTCTCTGCCGAAGCTCCCGAGCTCGCCCCGAGCCTGCTGCCCTTCAGCAGGAAGGCCGCCCAAACCTTAGCCTCGGCAGCCAAAAAGGGGCCAGGCTCGGGCGAGGAAGCAGGCAAGGGCGGCGGTAAGG